GTGATAGGTAGGTCACCATGACCAACTCTCAGGTACTAATTGGCTTAGAATCATCTTGGGTTCTCAGAGTGTGAATTGGAATTTCAAGGGTTCATGTAAATATACAGGATACTTCGAGGCTTCAAATAGAAGTGATAGGTTGTACAGTTTATCAGAAGAGCGATTCAAGGCCCATGGGCCTCTTGTTTTATTATGCTTTTTCATTCAACAATCTTTTAAAAGAGATTTCATGCAGTTTGTCTTTACAGCATTAATTTTGTTAATCAACAACCATAAGTTTGTGTGGTACAGACCCTAAAACGTGCTACTACACCACTTGCACGGTTCGGTTCATTTTGTTTTGTGTACAGTACGGTATGCTTCTTGCATGGAATGGTACGCTTTGTGAATGGTGCGGTTCGCTTTGTGCACGGTACGGTACGCTTCTTGCACGGAACGGTTCGTTTTGTGTACGGTACGGTTCGCTTTGTGCATGGTACGGTACACTTCTTGCACGGAACGGTTCGTTTTGTGAACGGTACGCTTTGATGAACGGTATGTAAATTAAGTGAGCAGAGCCTGTACGCTTTAGTTTATGATTGGCTACTTCATAAAGTCGTTTATTTCTTTATTATAATCTCTTTATTTTATATAAATGGAAGGACGGTATTCCAAGCATTTTTAATAAGTTGTTTTTAAGTTAAAGCTGTTATAAATATTTCTTTTTTTACAGCTGTATTTTCGTTATTACATGTAACTAGTCATCTTATTAACTGTATCTTTTTTTTGATTTACTTTCTGTGTGAACTACTTTCAATTTTTAAAATAAAATAATTTTAGTTGTCTATTTATTATTTTATTTTGTACACCATCGCCTTATGGTTCAATAACTTAGAAATAAATCGAACATTCAACAAACACTGCATAACAAGGATGAAAAAAAATATTTTGGTTGCGTCGCAATAAAGGCCTTTCTGTATTTTTTTTTTAAGAATAAGCGTACATATTTTTTTTTCCCCTTTTAATTTTCCTAATTGAATACAATAATTATTTTAAATATTCACTTATCACACTTTTATACAAATGAGTTTGATTTAATTTATAAATCCCACATGCTTTCATTTTGTCTACCATTCTTTTTATGTTCTTGTCGCTGTTGCTTCATTAAAAAAACAAAAAACAAACAAATAAGCAAACAATTATTTTTTTGTCTTGATCGAATGATCAAACAAACAAATAAAAAATAAGTTATTATTTTCATATTTATTTGCGAGGAATTTTAATTTTTTTTTTTTTTACATAGATTGCTTAGGTGTTTGGCTCACTAGGAAAAATACATTGAAAAGTAATCGGTAGAAGTGCACACAATTAGTGCAAAATATTACTTAATTTTTGTGTGCGTAATTGTTTTCCTTTTTACATAAATTTTCCATCAATGTGTAAAAAAGGCTTTTTAAAGGGAAGTTACAATCAAGAAAATGGTTAAGGCAGCTTCAATTCCATCAACAATGTATAAATGTATATAATATATATTGACTGCAAAGAAAGGTTTCCGAAATAAATAATATGTCAAAATGTTAGAAATAAAAAGTCCGTTTTCAATTACCTAAAAATTAATAATATGCAGTCATGCATGTCCTCAAAAACTTTGAAAATGTATAATTTGCCCATGCCGGGTGCTACCCCCCCTCCCCCCTCCCCCTTTGTTTCCTTGTCAAACTCAAACTTTTTTTTATTGAAGATCTATCTAGAAGAAAAGCTGACTGCACATGAAATTCTACTTATCTGCTGATTAAAACTGGTTCATTGTTGTAGACTTACTGTATAAGACAGCAAACTGTTGATACACGTGTGAATGTAGGCATATCTGGACTAACGGGATTAGATACGGTTCAATATACACAGTTTAAGTTTTTTACCTGTGTACGTGTGATGACAATACTTGAAATTTTCAAATGTTTTAGAGTAAATAATGAAAGCATAGAAAGACATCAGTCTAGATAACAAGACCATGGCAAGAAATGTACAGTGTTTCTTGAAAAAAAAAAACTTGGATGAACACGCATGCACGGACTAAGCATTAAAAAAAAAAAAAAAGATTAAACTGGGCTTTATGTGTAAATTCCAGGTATGATTGAGAGGCGTTTACATTTTAACATGTCCGGTTTCAAATTGACAATTTAGTTCGTAATTTTTTTTGAATTTTTTTTGGTGCTAAATCTGTAAGCATTTCTCCCTAAAACTATTACTTACATGAATAAAAAATGATTTTAAGGGCTTGATTTCGGAAAATGGCACAGAATTTTTCAATGTGTCTTGGTTTCCGAGAACGTTCAAAGAGACAAGAATAGGGTAGATAAAAGCTATAGAAATAAACGATAAAGTATTTAATTCACTTTTATTTATTATAAATTGCACACGAAAATATTACGATGCTGCATTTAATATGAAAAAAAGTTAGTCAAGCACAACCCGATCATGCATAGCGAATAAGGAATCGCCTTACACTCTGTCGAGTTGTTTTGAAGTCGTAACTAGTTTTGAGTAGTTTCCTTATACATGTACATGTATTAACAGATGTAAGTCCAGATGCATGGTACTTAATAATAATATTTTGAATCTCTAGGGCTATTTTCCATCCTTCTTTAACGGGAGCTGCATTGAAAGAAATAATAAAAAATACTTACTGTAATTGGTCATTGCAAGATCGGGGCATGGCTTGCATAATTATTTCAAAAATTGTTCCTGAACGGTACGGTTCGCTTTGTGCACGGTACGGTACGCTTCTTGCATGGTACGGTTCGTTTTGTGTACGGTACGGTTCGCTTTGTGCATGGTACAGTACGCTTCTTGCACGGTACGGTACACTTCTTGCACGGAACGGTACGGTTCGTTTTTTGAGGTGTAGTAGCACGTTTTAGGGTCTGTAACTATATACAGGGTTTCAGAAAACATGCAACTATTTTGATTGAGTTTTCAATTAGTGTTTAAGTCAATGCCATCAACTAATATCTCAAATCAAAAGGCATGATTTCAAAATTTTTCTAATGAAAATATATATAAAAATCAGCAAATATACAATGAGTTACAATTACAAAAGAATTAAGAAAAAATGTAAAATTTCATGTAGTTACAAAATATCTTTTCAATGGCATCATCTTTGCTGAATCAATAAATCTGTCAGATGCAAAATAATTCTCATTACTAGTGCACAAGTTTCTAATTCTTTATGTCATTTTGAGTTCCTCTGTTGTTTTTGGTTGTCCTTTAAATGTCCCCAGAGATAAAAGTCAAGGGGGTGGTCAGGTGAGTGTGAGGACCAAATATTCTTGAATTTGAAAAATTCTTACACTTTTCCTTTTCTTTGATCATCAACTGTTCCATTAATGTCAAAATTTATATAAAGTCTGTTTAGTTTCTGCTTAAGTTCTTAAATTCTTGATATATGCACCTTTTCTTCATTGTCTTAATCACAAGAACTGCCTGGTGACATACTTTGATAAAACAGTTTCACAACTACTGCTGCTAATTGCTCCTTAGCAAATTCAATATTGAAAATTGATATTGCATGTTTTTCAGTGATGTCCAATATGACATCCTAATTGGTTAAACTGATAATTATATTCCATATTTTTGTTATAAATAAAATCTTATGCCTTTATGGAATAATTAAGGAATAACTGTCTAATTTTTCGGATTCATGATGTGATCAATCGAGTGGCTTGCGCGATAATTTGCATAAACGCTGAAGGCATTTATGCATAAAATTATCACGCAAGCCAATCGATTGATCATCGTCATGAATCCAAAAAATCTGACAGTTATTCCTTATATTTACATGCTCCTGATTCTGCAAATTCCCGTGCTAATAGCCCCACTTCTGTCTCTATTTGTCCTGCCCCACACGTGATTTTTTTTAACCGCGCCTATCGATGAACCAGTAGATTTATGTAGAAATAAAGTATTTTTACAATTTGTAATTTTATCTCGGGCAAAGAAATTGGAAATGTAAATATTTTGGTATAAAAGTTTTGTATGTCTCTGTTTGTATATAAATAAAGTAAGGGAAGTAAATGGTCGCATGTTTTTTTGAAAAATTATCATTAAGTTTCAAAGTACAATGTCATGAGCTTGAAAACATGTGATAAAATGCAAAATCTTGTGATAAAAATTCAAAATACCAAGCTGATTTATTATACCTCATTTTAATTATTCTATACAACTCCCTATCTGATTGGTTCTAGACAGTCATGTGATTGGGCCATAAAACTTCATATTTCCTTGTTGTCATCATGCTTTCATCATATTCAACCTTTTTGGAGACCTCGTGCAGTTTCCTTATCGTTTGTTAAATGAAAACTCACAAGAGCAGCAGAAGTCACAAAATTTACAATAGAAGTACTGAATGTTTTATCTCTAAAGCAATCATAAAATTGGCAGTCTCTCTTCAATTAGGTTGCTTAAAAAAAACAAAACAAATTGGACTGTGAAGTGTCCAAGGGACTTCAGTAAAATGTTTCAGTAACTTTACATTAAAACTGAAAGTCAATTTAAGAGTGATGCTGAATTTGAAAGTTTGTGTTTGTTTTAAAAGGCTCTGTTTCTTTTGGTATAATAAACAATTTATTGCATGAATGTTCCATCATGATCATGCAATAAATGTATAAAAAATTAAATGTCCAGAATATATTTTCAAAGTAGATCAAAGGTCAAGGTCAAGTGAACAGTAACATTGGTACTCTTCCTAATATTTTATACCAAACTGTGCAGTGGTAAATAGCATAGACTTAATGTAACAATTGTAAAAAAAAAAAATTCTGTTTATGGACACTTTGAAATAATTTGAAAGAACAATTGTTTGGACAGTCAGGCAAACAGACTGATGCTGGCTAAAGTGATACCTGAGTGTTTCCCTTCTCTGCAGACAAGCTGCAACACAACAAAGTATTCTTCTTAGAAGTATCTTTAGATTCAGTTGATAATATTGGCATATTTAAGACATTTATCAGTATGACTTGTAGGTGTTAGTGAGGAGTACAGACACAGACCGGACTTTGATGAGTGCATATTGTGTGTTAGCTGGACTCTATCCTTCACAGAACATCACTCAGGCTTGGAATAATACTTGGCAGCCTATCCCAGTCCATACACTTCCACTGAACCAGGATTATGTATGTATCTTGTCTGTGTGTTCTGTTGTTTTAACCCACAGGTTATCTCTTAATATCAACAGAATTTCCTTTTTAGCTTACCTGATTTGAAGCTTCAATGAGTTAAAGAGTAGAGCAATTTGTGGAGTGCAAGACATTTTAACAGTATTGCAAAGGTGTGAATATTAAAATTTTAGTGGAAAATCTATAGGATATATTTAGGTCACTTGAGTCACTTAGGTGACCTATTGCTATCTGCTTTTTAGCTCACCTGAGCCAAAGCTGATCAAAATTTGTCCATCCCTTACAGAAAAAACCAATAGAAACTTCTAAGTATTTTATAATTCACTTATAAGCAAATTATAAGTCACCTTTAAGTTTTGAAATTTACTTATAAGTGTACTATAAGTCAAAGTAAGTATAAGTGAGGAACAGATTTTGTTAATACTTCACTTATAAGTGAAGATTAGCCAAATATCAGTGAATATTTCACTTATACTTCACTTAATATAAGTGAAGATCAGTATGGTATTAGCCAGAATAAGTGTGGACTTAGAATCTTTACATCACAATAGACTTTTTTTGAGTTGCAATGTGGGTATTCAAAGCTAACCAATCAGAAACTTTGTCTCTGCAGAGATGAACAACAAAAATTTGAAACTAAGTTAGTGTCTGTAAAAGGATGTTGTTGGAGATTTCAAATTTATTTTGAGTATGTCTCACATCAGGTACAACAAGTAGGTTCTATTTACATCATCTTTTCATTCTAACTTCCTTTGCCTGAAATTTTGAATCAATGGACTCAGTTGCTTTCAGATTTCATAAATTTGAAGAAGCCTCAAGGTCATTAAATCTTCATGTCTTTTTGTCCAACATTTTTGTTTGTGAACTGAAATAATATATTAAGTTTGCATCATCAAAGAATGTCATATGAGGAGGAATTTTTTTTCATAAAAGGTTAACTTGATTATTTCATCTTAAGGTATTCAATGTATAACAACCATATTTTGTATCTAATAAATTAATGGTCCAATATTTTCAATCATGGTAGCATTTTGAAGATGTTATCAAATGAAAACACTCCACCAAAGGAATTTCTGAAATTCTGATTAGTGTCCAAATAATTTCACCTTGAATTTTACACTGAAATCTATTGGCAGTGCATGTGTTATTAGGATATTTAAAAAGTAATTTGAACTTCATAAAAATACCTTGGTGAAAATATGCACAAACCCCATCTATATTAAAATATGAAATAAAATGAATCAATTACTGTAGATACTTTGACAAAATTAAAATTTTCGTCTTTTCATCAAGGGCAGATAACTCTTCAAAAAAGGTTAAGGTGCAAAATGGCCGGCTCCTTACATTTTATCAGTCATGTGAAATTTGGTTCATTTCACTTTCATCGTCATCTAGCAATGCATATTTAACTAGTTTTAAATGATTCAAAATTGTTCAATATCCCTTCATTATACATTGAATACCTTAAGTGCAGATGCATATGTATATGTCTAAAAAAAACTTTGAACATCATACAACCCTTGCATGATTGGAAGTTCTGTTCTAAATTAAGACCTTAAAGGCAGTGCTGTACTTCACTTGTAAGTGACTTATAAGTGACTCGTACTTGATAAAGTATAAAGGGCTAATACTTGACTTATAAATCACTTATAAGTGACTATACTTGCATGAAGCAAAAGTGGCTAATACTTGGCTTATAAGTCACTTATAGGTCAAGCACCTCGTTTGCATATAAAATCCTAATGAGTCACTTATCAGTCACTTATAAGTTAAATGTATCAGTGAAGTATAAGTCCAGAATAAACAACTTATAAGTAAAAGAATAAATCACTTTTACATATGTAAGTCACTTATCAGAAATTTCTGTAAGGGGTTGTCTATTGTTGTCATTGTTGTCATCGTCATTATAAATTAACTTTTCACATTTTCATCTTCTCCAGAACCACTGGTCCAGTTTCAACCAAAATTGGCACAGAGTATCATTCAGTGAAGAGGATGCAATTTTGTTCAAATGAAGGGCCACTTCCTCTTCCAAGGGGAGATAATTAAGAAATAGTGAAAGTTGGAATCATTTAAAAATCTTCTTGAGAACCACTGAGTCAAAAAAGTTCAAACTAATGTGAGACTTTCTTTACATAAAGCAGATTCAAGTTTATTCAAAGCATGACCCCGGGATAAGGTGGGGCCACAATGGCGGATCAAAGTTTTACATAGGAATATATAGGAAAAATCTTTGGACAACCTTCTCAAGAACAACAAAGCCATGTATGGAAGCATCCTCAGGTAGCGTTGATTCAGGTTTATTCAAATCACGATCCCATGGGATTTTGTGGGGCCACAATAGGGGGTTAAAGTTTTACATAGGATAAAATCTTGAAAATCTTCTTCTCAAGGACAGCAAAGTTTTGTGTAGTCACATTGATATGGAAGCAACCTTAGGTAGTGTAGATTTAGGATTGTTCAAATCTTGACACCCCCCCCCTTCCTGGGATTGGGTTGGGCCACAAAAGGGGATAAAAGTTTTACATAGGAATATATTGAAAAAAATATTGAAAATTTTCTTCTCAAGAACAGCAAAGCCATGATAAGTCATATTAATATGGAAGTATCCTAAGGTAGTGTACATTCAGGTTTGTTCAAATCATCACCCCTGGGGGTTGGATGGGGCCACAATAGGGGATCAAAGTTTTAAAAGTTATAAATAAGAATATAAGGGATAGATCAATAAAAATTTTCTTCTCAAGAACATCAAAGCCAGTCATATATATTCAGAAGCATTCTCAGGTAGAGTAGTTTCAAATTTGTTCCAATCATATCCCTGGAGGTAGGGCAAGGCCTCGATAGAAGATCAAATGTTGGAACCACATTTATATTTAAACTTTTCAATACTGAACTAATTTCTGCTTTTTTCCTAGCCAAAGTGCTCAGGTGAGCAAAGTGAGGCTCTTGTTTGTTTTTGTCTGCCATTGTGCATCGTATCTTGTGTTAACATTTGAACATTTTCAGCTTCTTCTCTAAAACCACTGAACCAATTTCATATAAATTTAGCATATAACATCTACATGTATGGATGTAAAGGAACAAAATTTGTGAATTTGTGGAACTAAAACCACCAAAACAAGAGATGTTTGTGAAACACTTATGCCCCCCCCCCCCAAATAATTGGAATTTTCCTAAGTCCAAAGGGCATAACTCTGACAAAAATTGCTTGATCATACCCAAAACAGAACTTGACCTAGATATTTTTATGATAAATCTGTATACCAAATTTCATTTCAATATGTGCAACCTCTGCGAAGAAAATGAACGGGAACTGCAAATAATTGGAATTTTCCTATGTCCAAGGGGCATAACTCTGTCAAAAATTGCTCGATCGTACCGAAAACAAAAAATGGTCTAGATATTCTTATGATAAATATGTATACCAAATTTCAATAGTATGTGCAACCTCTGCAAAGAAAATTAATGGAAACTGTTGGTGGACCGACAGACCAACTGACAGACCAATCGACAGACAACAGCAAAGCAACATGTAGTCCCTTTTCTTTGAAGGGAGGCATAATTAATGCAATCTTTGACAATCTTCTTTTTTCCTGGACATCATATCAAAATTGTGAAATTCATGGCCCCAGGATCAGATCTGGTGTTATGGTTGCCCCCTTACAGAAAAATCCAATAGAAACTTACAAGTACAGTAAAACTTGTCTAATCTGGTGACCAGTGGTTCCAAAATTTTTGGCCAGATTAGACAACATCCGGATTAGAGAAAATTGTTAAGAATTACACAGATATAAACAAAGAGTGGTAAATAAATACTTGATCAAAAATGTGTCATTTTTTTCGTTTCACTTAAAAAAATCGTCTATTTCCGTTTGTTTTGAACTCTTCAGAATTTTCATTTCTGTTTAAATATTTTATTCAGTATCGAAATGTAATATCTCTTGGTCATTTATCAAATTTGAAAATTGTTAAATGTTTAAAACACACACCAAAACCTCATCGTAGCTGTAAATATTATTTAGTGAACAGATTCCTAATAAATTTCTTTCTTTTAAAATTAATATGTTTGAATATTTAGACACTGTATTTGTTAATTTCAAATGTTATACATGTAATGAATATTGAACCAAAATCTTATGTCGTTATGGTCGTTGTAAACTATCGACACAAAGGGAAGTAATTCGAATTGCACGTCGTGCACGCAAAACGAAAGTAGAAAGGAGGTCATGAATAAGTCTCCAAGTTTTTCTACACACAAGCTACACGCAACCATCATTATCACTCATTCTTTTGCGAGTTTTCTCGCCTTACTTGAGCCATTAATGATTTTTAGCTCACCTGAGCCAAAGGCTCAAGTGAGCTTTTCTGATTGAAATTTGTCCGTTGTCTGTCGGCGTTGGCGTTGTAAACTTTTCACATTTTCATCTTCTTCTCCAGAACTACTGGGCCAATTTCAATCAAACTTGGCACAAAGTATCCTTGGGTGAAGGGGATTCAAGTTTGTTCAAATGAAGGGCCACACCCCCCTCCAAGGGGAGATAATTACGAAATTGCAAAAAATTAATGGCATTATTGAAAAATCTTCTTCTCAAGAACCAATGGGCCAGGAAAGATGAAACTCATGTGGAATTATTGTCATTTAGTGTAGATTCAAGTTTGTTCAAATCATGACCCCCGGGGGTAGGGTGGGGCCACAATGGACGATCAAAGTATTACATAGGGATATATAGGAAAAATCTTCAAAAATCTTCTTCTCAAGAACAGCAAAGCTATGATTGGTCATATTTATATGGAAGCATCCTCAGGTGGTGTAGATTCAAATTTGTTCAAATCATGACCCCCAGGGGTAGGGTGGGGCCACAATGGACAATCAAAGTTTTACGTAGGAATATATAGGAAAAATCTTCAAAAATCTTCTTCTCAAGAACAGCAAAGCAATGATTGGTAATATTTATATAGAAGCATCCTCAGGTGGTGTAGATTCAAATTTGTTCAAA